TTATGTAGAAAAAAAATGGAATTGGATTGGAACTCAGTGTTGGCAGACTCTCTACATATTATATATATTAAATGACTCGGATCAGATCGGGGGCCAAAAAGATGAAATAACAAAAAAATGAATCGACTGGAATAGAAACGTCCCACATAGCTGTGCAGTTTAAAGCATTTTATAGTCTTGCAACTAGTGTTGTTGGTGATTTGTTTGATGTTGGTTTTATCTTGTTTCCCATCGCGGCAACAAGCTTTAAAATAAATAAAAACAACAAAAAAACTGTACACGACCTGCTCAGATGAACAGTTAGAGACACTAAAATAGAGCTAAAAGTGAGCAAATATTGGACATAAATTGATTGATTACAACCTGCTGGATGTTCAGATTATAAATTAAACCATCTATAGGGTGACAGTGTTCTGTGCTCGCAGCTTGCTTGTGCTAAAAGTCAATAAAAACAAATCACAGAAACAGCGCGAAGCTAAAGACTCTCAGACGGATCTGTTAGCGACTTTATGTCATATTCTGCGGTCACATGTCGTTACATTTGCACACACAAGGAAGGATTAACATTAAATATAATCATCATTTAGGGTAATGCACTCGTGGTGATGTGCTTTAATTTAGTTTTGTCTGTAAAACATTTTCACTGTTTTCTGCTTCATTGATGTAATGAAACCTGCAGTGCAGCGCTTTTGTCTCCCCCTACTGGCAGCACGAGTAATTACACAAATCATACCGTAATCCTGCCTCTGAAAGTCTCTTTTTATCAGGAACTTTTCTTGGACACTCCCTTGGTTTGTCCACCGCACTCCTGCGTCTCCATCATTACAGACCGACTGTAAAAGGCATCACCGGCGCGCTAACGTCGCCACGGACGACAGATTTAATCAGCGCTGCATGAACTCTTTTCTGAAGTGTGTAAAAGCCCCACATTGCTTCTTTAAATAGTTTGTTTTATACGACAAGCTGTCCCAGAAGCTGATAAACTCATTTAGGATCATATGAAGCGAAGCAAAGTTGAGGAGATTTGATGGTTTTTTTACTGGATCAGGTTTCCACAGCTGGATCTCAAACAAACATACTGAACATGCAGCATGATTATAAATGATTATAAATGACAAACGTGTCTCTTAGAGTCATCAGGACTCATAAGAGTGAACATCAAACTATACAAAGAGACCCAAGTTGGAGAATTTTCCTTCACAGCTCTCTGTATGTATGTATGTATGCATCATTTCCATTGTTTTTATTCAGATTTTTTTTCAGCGATTTTTGCCAAGTAGACAAAATACAGCCCCGAACACACACACACACACACACACACACACACACACACACACAGTAAAACAGGCTGCGGCTTCTTCGAAATGTCTGCAGTCATTGTGGCGAGTCCCAAATCGCAGGTCCCGTCCTCCGTCTTCCCAGCAGCCCGAATCACCAGAGTGAGAGCAGGGACGGCGTGTCGGCTGATTCACTCTCGTCAAGGAGTGAGTCAGCGCGGTGTTGTGGTGATGATTTGACACTGTGGTCTGAGCTGCCGTGAATCCTGTCAGGACTCGCCGAGGTGAAGTCAGAAGGTTCAGGGACCCTCTGCAGGCTGCTGCTGCTGCTGCTGCTGGAGCTGAGAAAGTTCATGTCAAAAATGAGCGCAGCTACAAAAAAAAGACAAAAAACCAACTGAAAGCTCGAGTTCACAGCTGGAGATTTAGGGTACGCCACTCAGCACTTTGTTTTGTTAGTTTCTGAGAACAGGAAGTGTCACAAGCTGGATCATGACGGTAAATGGGTGGTGTCATATCGCTACCTGAACACAGTCACAGGGGGAAAGACTAAAAAAACAGCCTCCAGTGATCTGCTGCCAGAAGGAAACTAGTCACAAATAGGTTCATCTTTCAGCCCGCCGGTGGTTTTTCGTAAATGTGCGATGCGGTAAATCTCAAACAATGACAAGAGTAAGAGCATATTTAGGCCTATTGTTGGGGAACGGTGAAAAAAAGCTGGTGGAAGTCCTCGTGTTACCGGCTGCATGACGCACGCTTGGAGGGGCCGGACCTGGAGATCAGTCAGAGGCCTCGGGCGCCGAGTCGAACTGTTCACACTGAAAAGACGCGTGAGCTGGAAACACAAACAGCTGTGAGGTCTGATCGCTATCTCTCAGAAGGAGCCTAAACAGTTTGTGTTTTCATACAAATGTCGTTAATAATCGTGATTTCAAACGCACCAGCTACATGTTTGACCTTTTACCAGCTGACTGACAGTTAATTAGCTGATTCTTATCCTCTGATATCAGCTGAAATCCACCTCTGTGTCGAATCTCTCTAACTTTCCAGAACAACACGATCCAGGCGATAACGCCGCAAGTCTCTACACAACTACGTCTATCTCTTCACGGCTGAAAATGTGCCTCGCATTATTCAGAGATGCTATCTAATTTCTCCAACAGATGTTGAGTTTTGATTCGTACAGTCAGACCTCAGATTTAAAACACGTGGTGTTGCGTCACCGCCATCAGGAGCATAAACGTCACACGAGGACAGCATGACTTTGCAAAACCACGGAGAGGACAGTTTCAACATCAGGTCGGACACGCCCGGCGTCTTCGTTTTCTTAATTAGACCATCACAGAACAGGTTCTGATTGAACATAACCAAACAGCCTGGAGCCATCTGGAGAGTAAGACCGTTAATACTCTTGATTAATCCTCTTTTATGTCAACAAATCCCACGAAAAACCAACAAGGAGTCGATGCTGCTGCTATCAGGTGTCGCCTGTGTAACCAAACACCCTCATATTTCATATTACGGCTCGATTGCTAATTTAAAAACACATAAATGAGCCGCGCTGTTGCACCGAGACTTGTTGCATCAAACAAATAATAACACGAGACGCCTTAAAAAGTCCATCAGCAGAGTGAGATGTGATGTTATTTTGGCACCTTACAGTAAAGCTTCTGTCTACTATTTACATATTTTGCTGTATTTATCTCTATAAAAGTGGTGTTTGCATATAAATTAATTAGAATCAAAGCTGAAAGTCGTACATTTGAAGGTGCAGACTCGTCCTCATTTCAGGTTTTTTTAACAAACTATTCAAAGTGTCTCGTTAGAAATCACTGCAGCTGTAAATATGTGTTAAAAAATAGTCTAAAAACAAATCTACACTAAATATCTTTGACCTGTTCAACCCTCCGATTACCTTTAACTTTACTGATATCGGTTCACTTTGACTCCAGCAGTTTAAACCTCCAGAAAATATCAGAATTCAAATTGGTACCCAGGTTTATGTGTAAATATCCCTTTAAAAGAAAGTGAAAAAACGGATCTCAGTGACTAATTTAGAGATGTTAAACATTGAATAAGGTAACAGGAGGGTTCAATGAGTTCATTAGGATGAATTTTCATAATGTCAAAACTCTTTATTATTTGCTTTTATTCATTTAACATGAAGAAAAGTATAAACCAGTGTTCTGCAGCTGTTGGTTTATATGAGAAGCTGCTTTTTTGAATTAGCTGTTCCTTTCATCCTGACGTTTCCCAACTCCAGAGCCACGTTTCTGGGTCGCATCACGACCGGAGCAGGTTTTGGAGTTGTGCAAATCCAGAGCAAACTGTTGAAATGTGTTTAACTCCAAAAAACCTTTAATCCTCCACATAATCCTGCAGCTTTTTTTTTTCCACCTGTTGGCTTTCAGTTAGGAAAAGTACAGCTGGAAAATGAAACCAGCTGCAGTCAAGCAGTTACTGTTAAAGTCAGATTAATGAGACAGAATTTACTCAAAGCGATGGCGTCACGATCTCTGAACCTGGTCCCTGATAGACGACACTTCACTCCTGATCTTGTCTGAAGCTTTATTTTGTTCTCTCTCTGAGCTCAGCAGCAGTTTGAACAGTTTCGTAT